TCAATAGCCACTAACCTTGCCTGGTACAGTATAGGGGTTGTAAATTGGCATGGAAATTTAAAGCAGGTTCTTGTTGGTGCACAGCACAAATTAGTTATATATGGGGATGGTAGTTTTTTCATCTTCAGTTGTCTCTGATGCAGCTTATACGAAATATTGTTGTTCTGTTAACTGAATACCACTCTGTAATTGCAAAAAAAAAAGTTGCAGCTGTTTTGTTGACATTCTGAATGCTTCTAAGTAAATACAATTTTTTTTATTAAAAAAAAAAAAGAATAAAGTTGGATCCCTACCTCACACCACATATAAATTAACTCAAAATGGAGAAAAGTCCCAAATGTAAGAGCTAAAACTATAAAACATATAGAAGACACAGGAAAAAGTCTTCATGGCCTTGGATGGATGTTCTTAAACAACAAAGCATGATCCATAAAATAAAAAACTGATAAACTGAACTTCATAAAAAATAAATACTTTTATTCTGCTAACAACACTAGGAAAAGAAAAAGACAAGCCACAGAAGAGGAGAAGTTGTATGCAAAATCATATATCTGATAAAGGACTTGTATCCAGATTACATAAAGAACTCAAAAAGTCAATAAGAAGAACACAAAAACATGAATTTTAAAATGGGCAAAAAATCTCAACAGACCTCACCAAATAAAAAATGTTCAACATTATTTTTCATTAAAGAAATGCAAATGAAAATGAGATACCACTACATACCTATTAGAATGTCTAAAATTCAAAACACTGACAATACTAATTGCTGATGAGGATGTATAGCAGTAAGAACTCTCACTAATTGCTTGTGGGAATGCAAATGGCACAGCCACTTTGTAAGACAATTTATTGTAAAGTTAAACAGAGACCTGCCATATTACCTAGCAGTCATATGCCTAGGTATTTACCTGAGTTGAAAACTTATGTATGCACAGAAACCTGTATGTAGTGTCTATAAATGTTTATAGCAGCCTTATTCATGTTCACCAAAAAACTGGAAGCAATGCAGATAAACAGTGGTAAATTCATACAATGGAATACTATTCAGTGTTAAAAAGAAACAAGCTATCAAGTTATGAAAAGACAAGGAAGAACTTTAAATGCATATTGCTAAGTGAAAGAAGTCATTGTGAGAAGGGTATATATATATTGTACGACTCCAATTATATGGCATTCTAGAAAAAGGCAAAACTATAGAGATGGGCTGGGTGTGGTGGCTCACATCTGTAATCCCAGCACTTTGGGAGGCTGAGACAGGAGGATTGCTTAAGGCCAGGGATTTGAGACCAGTCTGAGCAACACAGTGAGACCCTGTCTCTAGAATTTTTTTTTTTTTAAATTAGCCAGGTGTGGTAGTGCATGCCTGTAGTTCCAACTACTCAGAAGGCTGAGGCAAGAGGATCACTTGAGCCCAGGAGTTTGAGGTTGCTATGAGCTAGGCTGATGCCACCGTACTGCAGCCCAGGAAACAGACTGAGACCCTGTCTCAATAAACTGTAGAGATGGTAAACAGGTTGGTGGTTGCAATAATAGAAAATAGATTAGACTTGAGAGAAGGGGACTAGCTGACTACACCAAGGGGATATATAGAAGACCTTATATGGTTATGGAACTGTTCTGTATGGTACTTGGGTGGTTGACACATGGTTTTATGCAATTGTCATAAAACCCACGGAACTGTATATAACAAAGAATGAACTTTAATGTCTGCAAGCAAAAGAACAAAGCAAAACATCAACTAGGTGGGTGAGGAAATCTCAGGATGGAATGCAGACTGTGACAAATTAAGCTAACTCCATTATAAACATGTGGCAAACTGTACTGAATGGGTGACGGAAGGGGGAAGGAACTGACCTAAGTAACTTTGGAAAATGGTATTTTGAATGAAACTGTAAGGTAAAGACAAAAAAAAAAAAAAAAAAAAAAAAAAACCACAACATAAATGCTGGACTCTAGTTGCTAAAGTTGTTTCTCACGGGGGTATGGGCTAATAATTCTGATACTGCTATATGTGTACACCTGAATTGCACAAGAAAATAATGGATGACTGACAGGAGCCAGGTTTCTCACTGCCAGGGAGAAAAGTTACAGGTAAGGAAGAAATAAACCTTTTGGCACTGGATTACAGTTGGCAGCATAAGTATAAAGTCATGCTTAGGTTAATATACCTACTAACGGTTAAATAGAGAAATAATTATAGATATGTATGCATGCATTGTGTCATGTATGCAATGTTTATATCCTCTCCCCCAAATTCATATGTTGAAATCCTAACCTCCAATGTGATGGTATTAGGAGGTAGGGCCTTTGGGAGGTCCTGAGGGTCATAATGGGATTAGGACCCTTATAAAAAGAGACACTAGAGTTTGCTCCCCCATTTCCCTGCTCTCCACCATATGAGGACACACAAGATGACAGACAGCAAACCAGAATCAGAACCTTCATCAGACACTGGATCTAACAGTGACTTGATATTGGACTTCCCAGCTTCCAGAACCATGAGAAATAAATATCTGTTATTTAAGGCAGTTGGTTACAGCAGCCTGAACTTAGAGACATGGGTTAATACATATACATATATTTCTTAACTATTTCCTGCCTCTGCCTGCTTAGATGGTCTATAAGTAGTGGTAACCCACTAAGCAGCGGATACACTAGATCCTGGTTTGTATTACCATTCTTTTCCCCAGTAGAAGATAGTAACATACTGAATTGAACACTCAAGGAAATAAACACATTGGGCAACAGTATTTATGAAGCAGCAGTGAATAAGACCAATGAATGAGACTAGTGAGTGAGTATGAAAGGGCCGAGGAGAAAAGACTACTGAGGAGGAGAAGGTGATCGTTGAAGTCAAATGCTACAGAGACCACACAGGACAGAGGGCTGTGAGCATCAGGAAGTCAGTGCCAGGCAGTGACAACAAGGAGTTGAAATTTATTGGCCTCAAGTTTCTCAGTCAGTCGAAGTGCTAGGGAACAGAGGCAGCTGTTGGCAGAAATGGGAGACAGAGTCCAGGCTAGGCAGGAAGCAGGGAAGGGCAGAGGAGGAGGGCTTACACGCCATCTTCTTAGGGAAAGGCAATAGGATCTGTTAATGAAAGACAGCCATTGTCACCTACAGACAAAATATGGAGGTCCTACCGGGTAAGTAAAAATGTTTTCTTGAGGAAAAACTCCATAACTGATAATGTATTATTTCAGAAATACAATCTAAAAGTACAGCCGAGTCCATGTGCCTAAGACCCAAGGCTGGAAAATGCATTAATTAGCATTCCGTTTATGTGGAAGATCATAATTTACCGAAATGTGATGTTTTACCTTTGCTCACAGCATTAGCATATTTTTGTGTAAAGGATAGTGTCTGAGCATTTTATTGTGTGCTTATCATAACCATGTTTCAGTTTTATACTTTTCCTTTTTGCCAGGACCCACTTTGTCTTCTTTCCTGACACCTATAATGACAGAGGGTATAATTTAAGCTAACAATTGATTATTCTTTACAAGATAAGTTCAAATATAAGCCTAATTAAAGAATTTCCTAACACTTCTTCCTTGCTAAAGCATGTACTTTTTTTTTTTAGCATGTACTTTTAATAAGGAAAAGCCCCTGACACTTCATTTAGACTCTCATTCACGTGTGTGCTTACACACGAAACTACTGCCTGTATCTTAATGTCTGGAAATACCATTTGTCACCCAGGAGTTACTGGCTAATTTGCTGGGTTTGCCCTTTAAATGTTCCATGTTCTCCTGACACCTGTGAGTTTCATTTAGAGGCTTTTAGGGCTTTTCACTAGAGATGACACTATCTGGAAAGGTGTTTCAAAGGACAAATTTCACTATGGTTCCTTTAATCAGAAGGGAACACTATTCCCATGCTAAAGGCACACAATTCTTTCAAGAAAGGAGTAAATGCTAGTATCACAGCCAGGAATGTGGGACTACGGAGAGTGTATCAGGGTTACAACCAGATACACTCATAACTCATAACCCTTAGAACTTCTTATAACAGCAACTTGCCACCAAACAACTTACCATCCCAACAGGTTACAAAGAAAGAGTTTCAACCACAACTTCCCACCATACATGTTGCTGTAACAACCATGAGTTATAATCACAACAGGTTACAACCAAAAGTTATAACACTAACTTGTAAGTCTGAGTAATATTCCCTCCATACAGTGTCAGATCTTGAAGTATACTATGTAAAAATGTTGAAATCTTTGGTAGTTTGAGGGGAACTAAAAATATCTGGCCCTGGGGAGGACATGACTATTCAGGGGCAAACTGAGGGAGCTTCTCTGTGGTGATAGAACAGTTCTGCTTCCCAATCCTGGTGAGGGATACTCCAGTCTACATGTGATAACATCTTACAGACCTACACACACACACACACACACCTGAACACATGCAAAATCTGATGAAATCTGAATAAAGTCTGTACCTGATTTAACAGTATTGTACCAATGTCAACTTCTTGGCTTTGACAATGCAAGACTGTCTTCGGGGGAAGCTGAGAGAAGAGTATTACAGAAACTATTTTTTTAACTTACGAGTCTTAAATTATTTCAAAATAAAAAGGTATTTTAAAAGATATCTGACCTGGTGTGGGTCTCTTAAAAAATGCTTGTCATGATGAGTTTTGCTCCCCCCATCCCAGAGAGACAATGTGTTCCCTGCCTTCAGTTATTATAATTGGTGCTACCTCAGCAGACAGGTTTCTGCTAGCATGGAAATGTTAACCCATGCAGTACCCTTGGCTTAAGGAATATTAGAGGAAATGTTTAACTTTTCTAAGTGGGCTTATAAATCTCCCCTTAAGCTGCATGCACAGCCCACATCATTCCAAGTGAACCCAGCTTGGAAGCTGGGATATCTAGGAACTACCTATCAATTCCCAGAAGCTGGGTAAAAATGGCTCAATTCACTGGGTTGCTGCATAATCACCTTTTTAACCAGAGTAAGATGTGTGTTTGAACAAATCAACACTCCTACCTTTATTCCTGTCAGGTTTATAATCACCACCCCCTACTATGTCTTCAAGATCCTTGTCTGAAAAACCTAAAGAAAATAAAATATACATTTCAATGACAAAAAAATTTTCAGCAACAAGAAATTTGTGTTAATGTTGCCCAACATTCACAGAAAATGACTGCCAGTTGCATTTGAGAACGTCCTTGATGAATTCTAAGAGGGCCCCCAAGATCCCTTCCAAAGGGGTACACATGCTCTGGATAATGCTCCATCACTCTGACCGAGTGGGACCACAAATAGGATGGGTATCACGCCTGTGATTAGGTTATATTATATGCCAAAGGTAAGGGGATTTTGCAAATGTAATTAAGGCACCAAATCAGTTTGACATTGCATTAATCAAAAGGAACATTACGCTGGGTGGGCATGACTTAATCAAGCAATCCCTTTAAAAACAGGTTTAGCCCTTACCTGAGCTCACACATAAGCAGCAACAGGATGCTTTCCTCCTTCTCCCCTCCCCACCTCCCTCTCTGCCTCACTGCTGCTGGTCTTGAAGGAGCAAGCAGCCATTATTTCTACAGCTGCAAGGAAATCTACTCTGTCAACACCACACGAGCTTGGAAGAGAGCCCAATCTCAGATGAGACCCCAGCCCTGGTCAACACCTTGACTGCAGCTGTATAAGACTCTAAACAGGAAACTCAGCTCAGCTGTCACTGAACTCCTGACCAATGGAGATTGTGAGATAGCAAATGAGTATTGTCTTAACTAGCTTTCTGGTAACTTGTTATGCAGCAATAGCAAACTAATATAAGGGGCAGAAAAATTATTAATTTTATTACAGCTCAACCTTTGAGTACATGTCTTTTAGTATTCTATGGGATGAAATGGAAAGCAATGCTTAAAGCATTTCTGTTGCACTCCAAAGTACTATAGTTGATTCACAAAAGGACTGTGTGATTATTCCAGTTCTAAGATATATTAGCTGCTCTGGGTCACGGAAGACCACTTTTATTCGACAGAATGAATGATGAGCAAAGTATAGTTTTATCAACTTGAATATTTGGCAGATGTTGTCTTGAAAATAAATGAAATGAGCTCATCAATTCAAGGAAAACCACTGATGGCATCTGTTGCCAATGATAAGATTTTAAGTAAAAATTAGAATTCTGGTCCTTGCCTGCGACAGTGGCCACTGTGTTGGTGCTCTGGGACTTGGACCCTGTCTAGCCAGAAAATAAACCTCCTCTTGTGTGATTGCATCCTTGATGTCTATGCTCTTCTGTCCGATGGCGCTGTGGAAGGTCGGTCCCTAACATTTGGGGGCTCGTCCAGGATTTCCCTTCCCCACAGACTACCGGATAGAACTCAGGGCTGAGGGAGGAGTGTGAAAATCCACCCCCGGACTAGCCGGGTGTGGTGTTGGGCAAGGGATGCGGAATCCCCTTGCAGGACCCCGGCACAGGACCTAGGCGGACGCGCTGGTGGGTCGCCGGTCAGAGCCAGGCGGAGACGTCCTCTGGCCCCGTTGGGACTCCGGAGCTGACCTTGTAGCCAAGGGCTCGGTCAGGAGGAGACCGGGGAGTAGGTCTGGACCAGGTTAGGTTGTCTGTTTACCTCACTGTACACTTGTCTGTTGTCTGCTTTGTTTGTCGCCGGCTTTCTGTGTGTGTGTGAGTGAGTGTGACATCTTTCGTTGGCTTGTTGGAGTCTCTGGGTTCTGTGGTTTCAGCCCGAGAACCCATCAGGGTTGCATGGGTTTTCGGGCTGGGGCCGTGGAATCAGGGGACCCACGAAAAGATCCGCAGAGGTGACTAGAACCTCCAGGTGAGTATTCCCCTGCATGGGCTGGCAGCACACAGTGTATCTCCTGCCGCCCGTGCCAGGAGTGGCTAGTGCGGGAGGGGCACGGCCGTTACCTCCGTAGGGAGTGTGAAAGGCTAGGGATTCAGATCCTTGTCCCCAGTGCCCCAACTGCAGAATATCGGTTTGCACATCTGCCTATTATCCACTAGCCATAGCACAGGCTCTAACAACGCTGTTGTCCATCCTGGTGAGCCATTTTAAGGATATCAGGGCAAGGGCACACAACCTGTCCCTGGAGGTCAAGAAGGGAAAGTTTGTTACCCTTTGTGAGGCCGAGTGGCCCACGTTTGGAGTGGGGTAGCCCAGGGAGGGCTCGTTTGATGCCTCCTTGATTGAAAAGGTAAAAGGGGTGGTATTTGGCCACCACGGCCACCCTGATCAGATCCCCTATATTGTGGTCTGGCAAGACATGGTTCTAGACCCGCCACCCTGGCTGAAGGCCCTCCTACCTGCCCCGAGGGGAAAGGCGGAAGTTCTGGCAGTTAAAGAGGCCAGAAAGGAGAGGGCACGCAGTCCGAGGTCCGTTGGGACGCCAGTGTTGCCGGACTCCAATCTCCGAGAATCTGAGAGACCTAATTAATATTTTAGACTCTGTTCTTTTTACTCATCAGCCCACCTGAGATGATTGCCAGCAGTTGCTTAAGGTGCTCTTCACAACGGAGGAAAGAGAAAGGATTCAGGGGGAGGCACGGAAGCTGGTTCCGGGGGAGAACGGCAGACCTACTACAAACCCAAGAACCATCAACTGAACTTTCCCCCTTGAACAGCCGCTTTGGGACTACAATGAGGCTGAAGGTAGGGAGCGTCTCCGGGTCTACCGCCAGACTCTGATGGCCGGTCTCCGTATGGCGGCGCGAAAGCCGACCAATTTGGCCAAGGTAGGAGATGTTCGTCAGGGGCTGGAGAGCCCGACAGCATACTTAGAGAGGATCATAGAGGCCTTCCAGCAGTACACCCCCATAGATCCCACAATGGAGGAGAATAAGCCACTGTTATGATGGCGTTTGTCAATCAGGCGGCCCCCGACATTAGGTGCAAGGTGCAGAGAATAGATAGATTAGGCAAGAAGACTCTGCAGGACCTGTTAGAAGTGGCGGAGAAGGTCTATAACAATAGAGAGATGCCAGAAGAGAGGTTAGAGAGGATCAGGATAGAAGATAGGAAATTCCAAGCTGGGGAAGCATGGAAAGCAAACAGAGAGATGGCTAAAATCCTGCTAGCCCCCACAAGAGGGGGGCAGATAGGGTCAGAGGATAGGGAAAGGCCCCGGCAGGAGAGGCTAGGAAGGATCAATGTGCCAATTGCAAGGAGCATGGGCATTGGGCCCGAGAGTACCCCAAAAAGAAGGGGGGGCGAAGACTTGGAGGTCCTGAAAAAGTCATGGTTGCAGGACAGGTGACAGACGAATAGGGAAGACGGAGTTCGGTCCCCTCCCTGAACCTAGGGTAACTTGGCAAATGGAGGGGAACCCAGTCAGCTTCCTCATAGATACAGGAGCAGAACATTCGGTACTAACGGAAGATACAGGAAAACTGTCCAGTAAGACCAGTTGGGTGCAGGGGGCAACAGGAGCCAAACTATATCGGTGAACCACACGGCGGAGATTGGATTTGGGTTCAGGACAAGTGAGTCATGCCTTTATGGTCATCCCTGAGTGTTCCACGCCGCTACTGGGAAGAGACATCCTTACCACGCTTAAGGCTCAAGTTCATTTTGAAGAAGAGGGAGTAATAATAACTGATAATAAAGGCAATCTCATCAACAGCCCCCGGGTCACTCAGATCCTGACCCTGACACAGGCAGATGAATATAGACTGTATTAGCCCACAAAAAGCAGAGAGGAAGGCATGGAGCAATGGCTCTATGAATTTCCCATAGCGTGGGCCGAGACAGGGGGCACAGGATGGGCAAAACACTGGCCGCCTCTTTACGTTGAGTTAAAACCCGGAGCCGAGCCAGCCCGAGTCAGACAGTACCCCATGTCCCAGGAAGCCAGAGTGGGAATTACGCCCTCACCTTCGGAGACTCCTGGACAGTGGGATTCTCGGCAAATGCCAGTCGGCCTGGAACACCCCCGTTGCCGGTGAAGAAACGGGGGGGGGGTAAGGACTATAGGCCTGTGCAAGACCTCAGGGAAGTCAATGCAAGGGACCTGGATATCCACCCCACAGTCCTTAACCCCTATACTCTGTGAGCTCTCTCTCTCCCACACTGTCTTGGTATACCGTCCTAGACCTAAAGGATGCCTTCTTTAGCCTGGCGGTGGCGACACGCAGCCAGGAGATTTTCCCTTTGAGTGGCAGGAAGAAGAGAGAAAATTCATGGGCAGCTGACTTAGACGAGACTGCCCCAGGGGTTTAAAAACTCGCCTACCCTGTTCAACCAGGCCCTCCATGATGACCTTGGTTAGTACCGAACTAATCACCCAGAGGTGACTCTGCTGCAGTACGGGGATGACTTGCTGTTAGCTGCACCTAACCCCCGGGCCTGCCTAGAGGGCACCCAAAACTTATTCAAAGTATTAGGCGAGTTGGGGTACTGAGCCAGTGCAAAGAAGGCTCAAATTTGCAAGGATGAAGTCACCTATTTGGGATATAAAATAAAAGGTGGCCGAAAGTGGCTAACCGAAGCAATGAAGCAGACTGTGTTAAAGATACCCACTTCAGCCTTGAGCAGAGAACTGAGGGAATTCCTGGAGTCGGTGGGTTCCTGCCACCTCTGGATTCCAGGGTTCGTGGAAAAGGCACGACCTCTGTATGAAGGGTGTAAGGCAGGGCGAGCATGGGAGTGGACTGTGCAAATGGAAGACGCTTTTCAGGCCCTGAGGACAGCCATGCTGGAAGCCCCGGCCCTAGCACTCCCTGATCCTACAAAAGTGTTTCACCTGTTCATAGACGAGAAGAGGGGAATAGCCAAGGGGGTACTCACGCAGGCCCTGGGACCCTGGAAGAGACCGGTGGCGTACTTGTCAAAAAAAAAAAACTACATCCGGTGGCAGCGGGGTGGCCAGCATGCTTGCGAATCATCGCAGCCACGGCCCTGTTGGTCAGAGACGCTGATAAGCTCACCTTAGGGCAGCAGCTGCAGATCACCACCCCGCACGCCATAGAGGGGGTTCTGAAGCAGCCACCGGGAAGGTGGATCACAAATGCGAGGCTGACTCATTACCAAGGACTTTTGCTGGACGCACCCCGCACTGAGTTCCGGATCCCTGCCGCGTTGAATCCGGCTACGCTTCTGCCAACCCCCAATGCAGCCGCACCTGAACATGATTGCCCTGAGATCCTAGTCGAGACCCGGACAACCCGTAGATACTTGAAGGATCGCCCCCTTCCAGGTAGCGACCTGACCTGGTTCACGGACGGAAGCAGTTTCATCCGGGACGGAAGCAGGTACGCAGGGGCGGCCATAGTAGATGACCAAGGTAAACTTATCTGGGCGGCATGCCTTCCGCAACGGACATCTGCTCAGAAGGCAGAACTAATAGCGCTGACGGAGGCTCTTAGCCAGGCCCGAGGAAAAAGGCTGACGGTGTACACTGACAGCCGCTATGCCTTTGGGACTGTGCACATACATGGGGCCTCTACAGCGAAAGGGGCTTCATCACGGCAGAGGAAAAGAAATTAAGCACAAGCCTGAAATACTCCACTTACTGGAGGCTGTTTTGCTGCCAAAGGCAGTGGCGGTAGTCCATACCCGGGACACCAGAGCGGGGATTCAGTGGAGCACGGGCAATCGGAGAGCGGACGCTGAATCTAAGAAGGCTGCAGAAGGCACTCCGCAGCCAAACATCCTGCACCTTAGCCTGCCACCCCCGGGCATGGGACAGTTGCCTCCTCTGCCGGACTATTCCAGTGTAGATGAGGTCTGGGCCTCAGAGCAGCTACGTGTAAGCAAAAGTGAAGATGGCTGGTTGCGGGACGAAGGGCATCGCCTAATAGTGCCAGAACTCTTAGGACGCCACCTGTTAGAACACCTGCATCAGACCACACATCTAGGGAAGAGAAAGATGCTGCAACTGCTGGACACTGCTCAACTAAGGTTCAAGTCACAAGGACGGGTTCCAGATGACATCGTCAAAAGTTGCTGAGCCTGTCAGGTCATGCAGCCGGGGAGGACCAGAGGGACCCACGCAGGTACGAGGGAAAGGGGGAGGCAGACAGGACTATTTTGGGAAGTGGATTTCACAGAGGTCAAGCCTGGAAAATACGGGTACCGATATTTACTGGTCATGGTAGATAGATATTTACTGGTAGATAGATAGAGATTTACTGGTCATGGTTTTCCAGATGGGTAGAAACCTTCCCTACGAAAGGAGAAACAGCTTTGACAGTAGCTAAGAAAATATTAGAAGAAATAGTCCCCAGGTATGGACTGCCGGGAGGGATAGGATCAGACAATGGACCTGCGTTTGTCTGTCAGGTTAGTCAAGGGCTGGCCCAGGCTATGGGGATAGATTGGAAATTACATTGTGCATATAATCCCCAGAGCTCTGGGCAGGTAGAGTGAATAAATTGAACAATAAAGGAGACCCTCACTAAACTGGCCCTGGAGACTGGCGGAGACTGGGTGACCCTCCTTCCCTTTGCCCTGTTCCGAGCCCAGAACACCCGTTATCACTTGGGTTTTAACCTCTTTTGAAATCACGTACGGCACACCCCCTCCTGTAGTTCTTAGGATGAGCCCTGAGGCTCTTCCGGGACATCCCAAAGAAGTGTTACAAGTGGTTCAGGCTCTGCAAAGTGTCCACAGTCAAGTATGGCCGGCCTTCCGTACTATCTACCGGCCTGAGGAGGAGGGTGCCAGACACCCACTTCACCCACACCAGCCGGGCGACTGGTTGTGGGTTAAACGGCATAACAGCAGAACGCTCGAGCTGAGGTGGAAGGGCCCCTATCAAATTATTCTTGTTACCCCCACTGCTCTTAAGGTCGATAGAATAGTAGCGACCTGGATACACCACTCCCACGTGAGACCTGCTAATAAAAAAGACCAGGAGCAGTGCCAGGACCAGTGGAAAGCAACTGCAGACGCGAAGAATCCTCTGAAGATCAGACTGACCCGCGTGGCGGCGACAGTCCAGGACTGCTGACTCGGACTCGGGTTGTGGCATCTAAAGACTGACTGGGTGACAAACATGGACGGGTATGAGGGCATAGTAGGGCAAAGAGTCACCAACCTAATTTTTGAAAGAAAAAGAGAGCCCTTCACAGCCATAACCCTGGCTATTCTTTTTGGCTTAGGGGCAATAGGGGCAGGAACTAGTATCTCTTCTCTGGCAATGCAGCAAAGAGGGTTTAATACTCTGAGGGCAGCTGTTGATGAAGATATTGCAAGGATAGAAGATTCAATCTCACACCTAGAAAAGTCACTAACCTCCCTATCCGAGGTAGTGCTCCAGAACCGGACGGGGTTAGATCTAGTATTCCTCCAGCAAGGAGGACTATGTGCTGCCCTCAAAGAAGAATGTTGTTTCTATGCAGACCATACGGGAGTTGCTAGAGAACCTATAGCTAAGGTCAGGGAAGGGCTTGCCCGCCGCAAACGGGAATATGAACAGCAAGCAGGTTGGTTTGAGTCTTGGTTTAACAGTTCCCCCTGGTTAACAACGCTACCATCCACCCTACTAGGCCCACTCATTATGCTAATCTTAGTCCTTACTTCCGCGCCATGTGTAATTAATAGACTAGTAGCTTTTGTGAAAGAACGGATAAACACTGTCCAGCTACTAGTATTGCAACAACAATATTAGCACCTGTGGTCAAGTGCTATAGAACTAGAGCACCTAAGAGACCTTGAGGACGAGCAAGAGTGCTCGTCTGCTACCTAGAGAAAGGGGGGAATGTAGGGCAGAGGAAGGGCAGAAGAATTTGTAGAACAGAGGAAGGGCAGAGGAATTTTTCCAATTGTCCGGAATTTACTTGGGTGGGGCAATGAGCTAACTGCAAACTTTTGCTTCTGGTCATTGCTTGCTTGCTACACCGCTGTATGGGGAATTATGGGATGAGGTCATTGAAGCACGGGCAACTGGCCCATCAGGCAATAGAGGGCAACCAACCCGCCAATTATTTCAAAAGGCAATAGTGGGCAACGAATCATTTTAAAGGTCAACGCATGATCCATGCGTAGTCGGCTTGTGCGCAGCTTGTGCACCATGGGGATAAAAGGCATGCCGTTGTTCCGGTCGGGGTCCTTGCCTGTGAGAGTGGCCACTGCGTTGGTGCTCTGGGGCTTGGACCCTGGCTAGCCAGAAAATAAACCTCCTCTTGTGTGATTGCATCCTCGATGTCTCTGCTTTTCTGTCCGGTGGGGCTGTGGAAGGTCGGTCCCTAACACTAGGAACTGTGTTTGTATATTTGAAAAGGTAATAAAACATGGCGCCACTCAAAAAAAAAAATTAGAATTCTGAAAACCTATATCAACCACTGTGCGTTTAACAGCTTCCTAATACTTACAGACTTCTTTTAATGAGCTGGGTCATGATATGAATACATGTGATTTTTTTGTTTTGCATAATGAAACGTGGCTTACTTGGAAGCTCAAAAAACCTCAGGATACCAATATTTTCCAAGTAACTTATGTACAACATCACAAAATCATGAATGGGCAAAAAGACACATTGAAAGGGCTACAGGATCCCGTGGAACCAAGTGTGGAAAGTTCACTGACTGAGTTGCACATTCCACACTGTACTTAACCTGTAAGAAACAGCCACCGGTTGAGTTTTGCTGTTCTATCAAAGAAGGTCCACAATCATCCAAAAAGTCTATTAATATATTCCTCCCTTCCCCCACTGCATATGGGTGTGAGGCCGGACTTTCTTCATATACTTAAAGCAAAACATCATCTCACAACCGAACAGAGAAGTGGAGGTGAGAATCCAGCTGTCATCTATCGAGCTGGACATCAGAGGAGTTTGCAAAAAATAGAAAATAATACCACTCTTCTCACTAGATTTTGTTTTTGTCTTGCCAAACACACTTATTTCTCATAAAAATATTTTATGTTAAGACTGTGGGTTTAGTGTTGTTCATTCTAGATTAACAAATGTTGAAAGTTTTTCAATTTTAAGTCCTAAGATGGTGAATATCAAGAGGTGTGACCCACATAAACAAAAGTTCTTGAGATCCTCAATGATTTGGGGAGTCCAGAGACCAAAAAGTTTGAGAACCACTGTTTTCGGGTTTTCCTGTGGCTGGAAGTGCCCTGAGCTCTGCCAGGCCCAGGGTGGCTCTGTGGGCTGTTGTAGTTAATGAGACAGGACCCAACCAGGGAGCTGCAGAGCTGCCCGGTAGTTTCAGCAAGGCAGGACTTACCTCTTCCTCCTGCACTCGGTTTCCTACGGCCATCATCTCGATCATTTCGATCATCTAAAGCATCAGCCAAGTCAAAATCATCAACTTCAGGGGTCCCAAAACAAAAGACACAATTAGTTAATCTATGGGTAGCTCATTTGGATACTGTCCCAGAGCGAGCTCCATGGGATCCTCCCTTACTGCCCTCTTCAGAGTAGCCACCTTACCTGCAGGATTTGCTAGAGCTCTAGGGGTTGCTGGCCTCTTGGTTGTGGTGGTGGTGATATGGTCCCATTTCTCTAAAAGAGGGAAGGAGGACAGCAAAGGAAGCAAATTTAGGAACAAAAGGCAATAGCTACTTATGGCTCAGGGAAGTCACATGAATAGAGTACCCTTATCTTGGTCCTTGAGGCCTCTGTATCACCTCTGAAGACGCACTTTGATATAGATGACAGAGATGTAAAGGTTTAAATGATGTGGGTTATGTTCACTTTTCTTCAGTGGATGGGGAATACCAGACAGATGCAGTCCCACATGACCAGGTGAGTGTAAAGCTAGGACTTGAGCCCAGATTTGTGGGACATGACCACACAGACCAGGGAGTTCTACAACTTGAATGTGACCCTTGAGATTTCTAAGCCTCAGTTCCACCACTGTCAAACCTGGCACTTAAGCCATAGATAATACTGCCCTGGGATGAACTAAGGTTACATTCTCAGTAGAGAATGGGAATATCTTATAAACTGAAAATGGTTACAACACATACACAATTTTATATAAGTGTGGTTACTGTTGTAAATATTAGTTCTTTGGGCAAAACCAGACTCCTTTAAAAATATGGGTTCCTTTCACTCAATTTACACAGCATGGCCTTCACGAGTTTTCTAATTACTTTCTAAACTTCAGAAGACTGTGCTATAACTGTTCCTACTATTGAAGTTAATAGAGGGAAAAGGCAGAAACAGTGCTGTATACAGCAAGCACCCAGAAGAGAAACAACAATGTTGGGGGGGGGGAACCTCAATAACTTTTATAGATCAATAATTTGATGGCCAAACTGCCCAAGGCCATTTAAAATGCATTGCCTATCATTTTTGGAGAGGGCCTCAGTGTTGTCCATGGATCAAAGAAATATAGGTCTGAATCTTCTGCAAAGAAAGTGTAAAAAATATAGTAAGTCATGACTCAACAGTTCTTAGCAGGAGTAAAGAGGATATTACATAATAATAAAAGGATCAAGCTACCAGGAAGACATATAACAATCCTAAATATGTATGCTTCTAACAACGGAGTCTCAAAGCACATGAAGTAAAAACCTGATAGAGCTGAAAGGAGAAATAAACCAATCCACGTTTATAGTTGGAAACTTCAAACACTCCATTCTCAGCAACCGGTAGAGCTACCAGATTGAAAATCTGCAAGGATACAGAAGAAATGAACAACAAAATCAACCAACGGCATTTAATCGGATAATAGGACACTCCACCGAATCACAGCAGAACAAACAATTGTTTAACCATCAATGGACTATTCACCAGGGATCATATCCTGGACCAAAAAACAAATTTCAAAAGTTTGAATCCATTATGGTCAAAGAGACTCCACTCTGCATAATTCAAATTAGAAACAAAAAAACAAAAAATAAGAAAATCTCTAAACACTTGGAAATTAAACAACATACTTCTAAATAAAACAAAGGTCAAAGAAAAGGTCTCAAAGGAAATTATTAAAAATACATAGAACTATTTGTAAATGAAAATACAACATATCAAAAAACGTGAGATGCAGCTAAAGCAGTATTCAGAGGGAAGTTTACAATACTAAACGCTTAAGTTAGAGATAAAGAAAGGTCTCAGGATCAATAGTCCACATTACTAACACAACATACTAGAAAAAGCTACCCATATACTAGAAAAATAAAACCAAAGAAAAGAGATACAAAAAATGCAAGAACAAAAATAAATGAAATTGAAAATAGGAAAGCAATATAGAACAATCAATGACTTTTTCGCAACGGGTTTGCTGCCAGAACACAGGTGCCGTGAAAACCACCCATAAAAACCAAAATGGGGAAGGAAAAGACCCACATCAACATCATCGTCATCGGACACGTAGATTCGGGCAAGTCCACCACTACTGGCCATCTGATCTACAAATGTGGTGGGATCGACAAAAGAACCATCGAAAAATTTGAGAAGGAGGCCGCTGAAATGGGAAAGGGCTCCTTCAAGTATGCCTGGGTCTTGGATAAACTGAAAGCTGAGCGTGAGCGTGTTATCACCATTGATATCTCCCTGTGGAAATTTGAGACCAGCAAATATTATGTGACTATTATTGATGCCCCAGGACACAGAGACTTTATCAAAAACACGATTACAAGATGGCGGACGAATAACACCGCCAGACAGAGGGTCTCTAGAGAAAAGACCGATTCTAGCAGAAACTAGAGGAAAGAACAAAGAAAGACATACATGACAGGGCCGAAGGAGGGGTACCTGAGACCCACGGGAACTCCACGGGAGGAGGCTGCGGAGGAAACTGGAGGCCTGAGACACCGAGCAGCCCGGAGACCAGCGGCAAGGGTAGGTGGATCTGCTGTTTCCCCTCCCCTGCATTCGGACGGCTGGTGGGCTCCCCAGCGGTGGAGAGACCTGCGACACCAGCCAGAGACTGCCCCGACTGCCAACAGTGAGCCTGTAGCAGATGTGCACCAGGTTCCCAACTTCTCCGGCACCTCCGTGTGCACGACCGAGCCGCGCGGCAGGCGCCATATGCCCCTCCTCCCCTCCGCCGACCTACCCGCGGCTGCCCAGAGAGACAATACAGCCACCAGCCGGAGGCACCTCCAGGGAACGGGACCTTCCTTTGGACCCCCGCCCGCTCCCAGGTGCTGCTGGCACCGTGTTCCCAGGAAAACGTGCCGACTCAGAGGCTGAGAGACATAGACCCAGCTGGGCTCCCTGTGGGTGAATTAGGACCGAAATCCTCTCCCTGGTGGGAATACAGTTTGAACTCTGGGACCCAGAGGTCGGACCCAGACCAGATCCCTGCACCGAGGGCTAGCAGTGCCCGGGGCACAGAAGGCTATACGTGAACAGCCTACTGAGGCTCTGTGCCTCCAGGGGTGGATCGCGCCCTAAGGGCAACCTCCTCCCAGGAGGAGGCTGTGCGCCCCAACCAGGTGGCTCCTGTGCAGGGAACCCCCCGCCGCTCACAGTCCGGGGAGGCCTGGTGCTTGTGTCTGGCCTGCTGGCAGAGGCCCAGGAGTACTGCAGAGTTGGAGAGGTGGAAAGAACAGGCCTGCTGCAGACTGCGGTCTCAGACAGCCCCACCCACACCCAGACTTTCTGGCTGAGCAGGACCATTCCAGCCTCCAGCTGAAAGCTTTCCCTGGGGGCTGAGAACAGAACTTTGAACCCTGCTAACGGCCTGAGGGCAGGTTATCCAACCCAGCTCCGCCCAGAACGAAGCTGATAACAGGACTCAAATCAACACCATAGCCTGTTCCTCCAAGCAAACGCCACTACTGACAGGGACGGCATCTTGCACAGCTTCACGACATCCACTGACTCAATATACAGGGAGTGGTCCAATTTCACCCACAGGCACCACCTAACGCCTCAGAAACTAAACAAGGTGTGTGAATACCAAAACAGTAACCTAAGGAAAGAAACAACAACTGATCCACATGGGAAGAAATCAGCGAAAGAACTCAGGAAATATGAAGAACCAAACGGAAAACACCCCAAGGAAGAGCACCAGCCCTTAGAAACGGACACCGACCAAATCAGGCAACCAATATGACAGAAGAGGAATTTCGTATGTGGATCATAAGAACACTCACCCAGCTGCAACAACAACTCAATAACCAACACCAAAAAACACAAAACCTCCAAGAAATGGAACAAAGGTACAACAAAGAGATGACACAGTGAAGAAAACTTTACCCGAAGTCCTGGAGATGAAGAATCAACTCAGAGAACTACAAAATACTGTGGAAAGTCTCAAGAACAGGGTAGATCAACAGAAGAAAAATCTCAGAGCTTGAAATAACACCTTCCAATAATAAATCAGTCACAGAAATACAGTAAGAAACAAGAAAAGACAAAGCCTACAAGCTGTGGGATTATGGAAAAACCTAACGTGAGGTCATAGGTTTAGCCGAAGGGAGGAAGACAACGCTCAAGGCTGGACAAGCTTTTTAAGATATAATAGAGGAAAATTCCCAGCCTTGCTCAAATCTCGATATACAAGTTCAAGAAGCCAGAGACCCCTGGGAGATTCAATGCAACAGGAAGACGTCACGCATGCAGTCATCAACTGACCAAAGTATAACTAAAGAGCCCTTCTAAGAGCTGTAAGACAAAAGAACAAGTGACATACAAGGGAAAGCCAATTGAATAACATCAGACTTCTCTAATGAGATTTACAGCAAGGAGAGACTGGGCCCCATTCTCACTCTTTTGAAACAAAAAAGCCCAGCCTAGAATATATTCCTGCAAAACTAAGCTTCGTATATGAAGGAGAATAAAAACATTCTCAGACAAGCAAAGGCCAGAGAATTCACCAAGACAAGACCAGCACTACAAGAAGTACTTAAAACAGCGTTATGCACGGAACATCATAAAATAATCCACGGATAAAAAACAACAAACCAAAGATATTAAAGGCCAGATATTACAATGGCTCAAGACAGAAATCATAGCAACAACATCCAACCCAACAGAATGATCAGTAATCTACCTTACCTATCAGTTCTCTCAATAAATGTGAATGGCTTAAACCTCCACTCAACAGACATAGGCTGGCTAATGGATAAGAAATACAGGCCAAGTATATGCTGCTCTAGGAAACACATTTAACCTGCAAGGATGCACATAGACTAAAATAAAGGGTGGAGATAATATTCCAAGCAAATAGAAGCCAAAAGAAGGCTGGGTGGCAGTTCTAATTCAGACGATTTAGTTTTAAACCAACAAAAAGTAAAAAAAAGGTCATTATATAAGGTGAAGGGCACAGTCCATCAGAAGAGATAACAATTTAAATATATATGCACCCAACTAGGTGTACCCAGATTCATAAAGCAACCTTACTGGAGCTAAATGGATTAATCAACCCATAATCGCCGGAGATTTCAACACCCACTGACGGCACGAGACAATCCTCCAAACAGAAAATTAATAAAGAAATAATGGACTTAAACAAAACTCTAGAACAATTGGGTCTGACAGACATCTACAGAACATTCTACCCAAAATCCACTGAATATACGTTCTTCTCATCAGCTCACGGACATTCT